TACATACATACAGGCATACATACACATAGACGTTCACATGCACATGCACATACACGTGCACATGCACACACGGATACACATATACAAACGCATACACATACACATACACATACACATACACATACACATACACATACACATACACATACACATACACATACACATACACATACAAAAGTACATACCTACATACATACATACATACATACATACATACATGCATACATACATGTTTACTTACGTTTTACACATATGTATATATGTATGTATGCGTGCGTGTGTGTGTATATATATATATGTACCAAACACACATATATACACAACATGTAGATATATATGTATGTATGTATGTATGTACGTACATACGTATGTATGTATGCAGCTATGCATGTAGGCATGTATGATCATGTATACATGTATCAATGTAAGGCAATGTCTGTGTCTATGTACGCATGCTCAGCCCCGACGTCATGATCCATGTCAGATTCTTTGTTGAAGGAGTTCATCATGGGACTGTTTGGTTGCGACAGCATCGGTCGGAATCAAAACCTGACAAAACCTCGCCAATGATCGAAATTCCCGAAAATCTAAACAACTATGGTCCGTAGATAACAGGATTCTGAAAATCTTAACCTCAGACGAAAAGTCTGCACATCAAAAACGCTAAAATCTCCCAGAGCCGGAAACCTCGGCAGGTATCAAAACTTCCCGACAACCCCCAAACTCAGAGCAACTATCGCCCCATAAATACCAGGACTTTAAAAGTTGTTACGTCTTGCGGGTCTATCGATTGTTCTTCATGAGTACAAAGAACTCAAAGAGCCTCTCTCAACCAAAGAAGGACCACAGAGCTCCTTCGCTCCCGGACCGGATAGAAAGTTCTTTATTTCTCTGAAACACCAAGGTAGCTAAAATAGAGAATCCTTTTTCTTTCGGGGATTCCAAAACATCATATCAGCATGGGGAGGCTGCTTACTGGCCAGAGCCTACAGAGTCCAGTTCCTGCAAGCTGGCAATGACGAATAGGATTTTGCCGTTAGAGCACGCCGATGTCCCGTTGCATCTCGGAGAAAAGAGAGCTGTGTTATTTCTCAAACCTACACGTTGGAAAAATCATACAGACACAGAAGACTGCCGAGGAACAGCAGTCGGCCAGAAGGCTGCTTTGACATTTGTGTGTGTGTGTGTCTATCTATATATACATATACATCTACGAATCTAAAGTCAGTGCCCAAACATTGGCTAGGTGCTGCTTGTACGTTAGCTGTACATCAACAAACAAATCTTACACATAGATATCTTTCTGAAAAAAGAAAGAATACTAGCTGGCTGAATATTATCCGGATCTCGTCAGATTTGTGCTTTGGGCAGCTGTAAACTTTCGATATCAAAACCATGAAGAACCCATATGTAAGCAGAACATAACAAATTGCATATGTTTCGTACACATTTTTTGAGTGTTGGATAGCATCTAATGAAAACAAACTGGATGAAACATGAGTAATCAGTAATCTGCGATTACCCTCAAATTCCATAAGCCTCTTGGAACAGAAGCTGTGGAGAACCTGTACACAATGTACAGACCTGCTACTTAATACTGTGAAAACTCCTACAACTAAAACATGTTTCCGAAATTTAAAAGTCATCTCCTCGTGTCAAGAGCGCTACTCAAACCCATCCCTGCACCCAAGATGCTGATGCATCGTGGTTCCGGCACAATATTCGATGAGCCTTGATGTAGTCTCGAGGGGACCAGTCATTTCTGCAAATGCGATGGTTTGTAGAGCTCACATGAGCTATGTAAGTGCGTATGCCAGGCTCATGCATATTTGTGTGTTTGTGTGCACTACCTACCTATCTTGCTCTGTACGTATATTGCTTGCACTGCATTGCTGCCTTATCGAAAATACTTGTGATGGCCAGTACAAGCAATATTATAGCACCCGCGTACATAATATGTGTTGTCTATGTTTACTGCTGTACTGCAACGGTATTTTGGTCCAGCCTTGAGGGTTGAGACCGTCGTTGACTGCGCTTGAAACCTCAGCTTGGTGCTAGGGAGTCGAACACGAGACCTGCCCCTTCCAAAACGACCCTGCAATCCCGGGCCGCCATCCGAAGGAAGACATCTCAATGTCAAAGCACAATGACTCTTTTCGGAACTGGCGGAGGACTTCCCAGCACCTCCTCTTCAAAATGAACGGGTTCATGAGTAAGCTCCACCACACTCGAAATTCATGCAAAACGGGGAGGGACAACCAGACGACTGTGAGAGAGAGAGAGAGAGAAAGAAAGAGAGAAAGAGAGAGGTCTGACTCCTGCTCTCGCTTGCTAGAAAACTCTTGGGCTCCTGCCACTGCGGAGTGAAGCGCTTTACAGGGACGGCCCTAGCAGAAAACATGCGCTACAACAAAATCATCAAAGCTACAAAACTCCAGCAGCTTCATGCGTCGCTGGGCTACACACAGGTAATCAACATGACCTCTCTGCATCCTGTCCCTCGTGAACTCACTGCTACAGTAGGCCGCGGGAGGAGATGGGAACCTTCAAGGCAGCAAAAACACGCGCCTGCTGCTTGCTACGTTGCTACAGAACGACACCGGCTCCCGACACGGTCCTCTTCTCAAGGCTGTCGAAGTGGATCTCAATCTGGCCTCGAAATTTGGATGCTCGCAGGGCGCTCTGACAGGGTCTCTTTGCGACGAAGCGGCTCAGCCAGCTCCTGGAGGCCGCTCGGAGCACGTGAAGCATTTCATACCTGGACACGAGACACTGCAAGCCTTACAGGAGATTAACACATCCACTTCCACCCGTCACCGTGTGCATTGTGCCGCAAACAAGAACTTCCACAAGCTCCCCTAGCTTGGTAACGCTCAAACCGGAAGTTCCTCATTCGGTCCGGCACCGTGCAGAATCCCATGCAGGGAGCGTCGCCAGAGCATCCTCGTAGGGAGTCCTTCGCAACTGGACCGACAGCGGCCTGAAACTACGTCCGAACAGAAAGCATTGCCCCTGGGCCCTGGAAGCAATCTTGGCGAAAGCATTTGCCTCCGCTCTGCCAGTGCAGACCGAAATCATTTTCGCCCTGCAGGTATATGCACAGTCTCCTCTCCTGAGACATGATCAACTTACCATGCTTCGATGCTTCGCAGAGCTATACAGCGACATGCACATTCGACAAATGCCCAGTCGATCTCAGTTCTCGCCACCTCGAGCCCGCACCCGTCCTCTGCAGAGCCAGCGCCTCCTCTCACTGATGCACTTCAAAACTGAGCTAGGATGTAGCATTGATCTTGCCGAAATGAGCTGGAAGCAGGGCCCTTGTTGCAGACCAAAGACGTAAAGACCGTAAAGACTTCCTGAAAGTCATAGAGGGCTGTCTGCTGAGGTCCAAACTTCCTCCTGAAATCAAACCTCACAGATTTCATGACTTCCTCAGATCCTGAAGCCACGGAATTGTTGGCTCCTGTAATGTCAAGCGTTCTAAACAGCATCATGCTAAAAGAGGGTTTCTGCCTGGATCTGAAACTGAGGCAGGCAATCTCTAATGTTTTGCCTCCTGGTCACTTGAATCACTTGTATTCCAGGAAGATGAAGGAAAGATGTGTTTATAGCTGAAGCCATCCCGTGTCCCTAAGGCAAAGAATTCTGCCTCTTGAGTGCGCGCTTGCCGTGATCCCTACAAACTGTGAAGTTGCTCACTTCCCAGCCTCGCTGAGGCTTGGCGTGACACTCTCTTCGGAGATCAAGTCCTGCTTTGCCACGCCCCCAACAAACCTTTCCTTAACTGCTTTCCCCCCGGGCGCAGTTTAGTTAAGCTCCTCCACAACAAATGGCGAGCCATCCTCGGTCACGTTCCTGCGAAGTGTGGAGAGTCGTGAACACATGCTGGAAGCTTAGATGCTTACATCTGTGCCCTCCGCAGCAGCGCCTGTCACACCCCACCAACCACAGTCTCAAAGACACGAGCAGGCGCAAAAATAACTCTCAGTGCGCTCCAGTCACGAGCCTGCTCATCGGTGCAGCCGTCGTCTCTGTGGAGGTAGACAACTGGCGATCGTTTCCCTGACAAACGACCGGAGCTGCACATGTGGCAAGGAGAGTTCCGTGCATCCGCACAGCAAACGTTTAAGCTCAAGAGCAAGAGTGTCGGACAAGTTACTCGAAGACTCAGTTGCTAGCTGGATTCATGATCGGATGATTGCCATGTTCCTGCCGATGCAGATCATCTTTCGCCGGTCTCACCACTGAGGACAATTTCACCAACCGCTATCGTGCAAGTGCTCTCTCTTGCTAATGTTACATTGCATGCATTGGCATATGGGTCGCGACATAGATCATATCCGGTCATGAAGAACTTGTTCAAACAAAACTTGCAAAATCTTGCGTTGCTGCTACAGCAGTTTTGGCAATCATGCACATGTCAAGCAAATTGTTGCTCCGCCTTGGGCAACATCTTGGCGTATGAGAACAGGCCCCTTGGACAGCACAAAAGGTTCACGACTTCACACGCTTATGCTGCCAGTATGCCTCCTACTGCCTTGCAGAAGGTTGTCAATGTGCACGATCCGAGGCAACCCCCCCAGCCTGTGTTCCAAGAGCATGGCGGCCAGCCCGAGACCTGTCACGGTCATCCTGCAGAGCTCTTTGCACATTTCTGAGAATTTTACAACGTGTTTCGTGACACCAACTGGTAAGGTTGTTTCCGCTCATGTGACGAGATTCTCTGACATGGAAATTTCGCCAATTTTGTATGCGACACTGCATAAGCTCGTGATGTCCACTGTAGGGTCACAGCTATGCAACCGCCGTGTAGTTAGTCTGGTCTGAGAAGCATATGCAAAAGGGGATGTCAGAGGAACCAAACCAGGCGAAACACACTGGTGGTGACACTATCGCCGTCGCTCTTCGAAGCTGTGACACGATGTTGTGCGTGGCACAGGCACGGTCCTTGCTTTTGGAACCGATGCAAGGGATTCTCTTGAGCGGTGATTGTCCTCAAAAGTGGATCGCTTCTCGATCTATGTCCTGCCCGTCAGCAAAGCTCGCTGTGTTGTGCTACTGGAACTTGAAAAACAGTCAAACTTAGTTTAGCATTAAAAATTGTACGACGAACGGTATATCGTTTGCCATCAGCCCGATCCACTTTCGAGGCATGGCATCCATTGCATGCCCATTCCATCTTTCTAAGTCGGCTCGAGCAAAACATGGCATTACCAACATCCATAAAAATTCAATCCAAGAGATGAGACTGCTTGCACCAAATGAATTTCCAACTGTACGCTCTTTGCACACAAACCACGGAACAACATGGCAAGTTCACGTCGACCACCCGGGCCTGTAAGACTCCGATAAGCAATCACTAAGATTTTGCCACTGTGGTGCACAAAGCAATCCAAAAAATGCGCACGGTGCGATGCTGGTTTATGTCTGAGTCTGCCGACAAATAACAAACAAAAACACTTTCAAACAACATATTGGTCAAATGCCATTCTGTGCTTCTATCAGTTTAAGAAACACAAATTCATGTCATGTTTGAAAGCATTTTTTTGCACCCAAGAGATTGGCACATCATGTGCAAAACATAGCCACATCGACGATTTGCATCATGTACGTCGTCAAAGGTTGAAGTACAACCAAGTGGAAACTGTTTTTGAATGGAGCCGTCTGAGGGCTCACAGCCAGCAGCAGCTGAACTGTTGCCCAGCACGACAAAGTCATACGTTGCTTGCGCTGTCATGAAGCATCGATCTCTGCATGGCACTGCTGGAAAAAGCTATGGACAGATGCGCTTGACGATGATGATAAAGATAATGATGATGACGGTTTCTGGGTTCGAGGAAACTTTAACCTGAATCTATTCCAGAATTCCGGTTCTCAGATTGGAGTTGAGGTCGATTCGAATCCAACTCCGGCCCACATATTGGAGTTGCAGTTGACTAAAACCCCAATTTCGATCCGCGGGTTAGAGTCATAGGAAACTGAAACTCCGATCCGCAGATTAGATTGGAGAATTCGAACTCCAACCACTGTCCGCAAGTAAACCCAATCTTGACTCCAAGCCGAGTCTGCGTGCCGTGACGTCCAAACAAGAAACTGTTCAATTTCCTTACGAAGAGAAGGCCGCTAAAAGTGAAAGGAATTTGTAGACGCATTGCGTACATTCTAGAGAGCGGCTGGCATGGACATCTCAATGCCATGCAGCAATAGTCAGCGTTTTGAGCCAAGGGACAAGGTTGAAAGACATGGATTGCTGTGCAATTGAATGCAACTGGAGTTGAGGTTGGAGTGAACTCTCACCTCAACGTGAGTTGGGTTCAACTCCAACTCTGTGCTCCAAAATTGCTCTCTTGCATTTGCGTTTTTTAGACTCAATGTCAAAGCGCACATCGCATGCGAATGAGTGATTCGCAGAACTGGCAACCAACTGAACGATTGCGAACATTGCACTACGTGACCGTTACAAAAGACGGCATCCTTGAAGAGGTTCCGCACCTATACTGGGCTGGAATGACCTCTAGGCGTTGACCTGAACTTTCGGGCATTGATATGCATGAAAAGTCGCAGCCGACATTCTTCGGGGCTACCGTAACTCACTGCCTGGTGCGAACGGGCGTTGTAGGTCTCCGCTGCTTTCCATGTGGTTCTCGCCCGCCGTTCTGCCTATCTTGCCCGCCAAGTTCTTCTTCCACTGCCGTCGCATTCCAATCCTCGGATCCTTCTGGCCGCGCACTACGCGTCCGGACAGCGCCGCCTCCCAGAACTCGTTCTCCAAATTGCTTGTCGATTTAAAAGTTAGCCGGCCCGAAGAGTGGTTTGGCCCAATGCGATTGAGTTGGAGCCGCCTATACGATCTTGAGTTTCGCCATGCCCGCCGTCCCGTTCCACAAACCACGCCTACGGCGTTACGGGCTCAGCACCACGCTGCTGGTGTCCCCTTCGCTGTGACAGACTGTTGCTGTTGTGGTGGTGCTGCCACGAAGAATTGGGTCACGTCGGCCCGGTCGTCGCTCTGCAGTCGGAGCGTCGCGAGTTCACGGTGAGGTCCGCGGTCAGTGCGACCTTGTTCAGGTCCGTGACCCTTCCAGGGAGGCCAGGAGAGCTGCAGCGTCGAGTCGGCAACGCAAAGCACAGAAGGAAGAGTTGCTGACAGCCTCCATGGAAACCTTTTCCATCAAAGCTGGAAACTTGAAGACAAGGAATCGTTTGTGCGGACAGAAGCTTCGCATTTTTGCTTCATCGAACAATTGCAGTTGCGGCCAAATGAACAAACCTTCCACAAACGAACTCGAACAGCGGCAACCGTTCTTCGAGAGCCAACCGAGGGCAATCTGGTTCATCTGCTCAATAAATGGTGTGCGGGATGGAAACACAAAGATCAGACTCGAGCTGTCGGGTGCGATGAAAAATGCTACACCTTGGGTTTGTACGTTCACAGAGGCATCGCTGGAATTTCCAAAGTCTTTGACAATGAAGCGTCGTGCTCGGCCGTCAACCATTTTCTGAAAGACAAATTTCTAAATGGAACTTGGACTTCCCATCGCGATTCTGCGCACGTTAGTTTCCGAGGAACCTCTAGGGAGCCTCAGGGCCTCACAACACAGCAAACAGTCAAAGCAGGCACGCTCCACACTTTTCCTCGTTGCTGTTCTTCAGCAGTCCGAGTCTTGAGCCAAGCCGGGCACGGCTTGAGGCTTCAGTTCACAGCTCCCTGGACTTGAAACACTCCACTGCTGGTGAGCACTCA